CCCCCAAAACCCCAAAACCCCAAAACCCCAGTTATTCAGGGTTCATTGAAAACTTACTTAAAAGTCAACAGTAGCATCCGAGTTAAATTCCTTGTTGTCCTTAGCTAAATCTAGCACAAAGATATTCGTCTTTATGGTATCTGCCTTACCCTCACTATCCTCACCTTCATCCCCACCTCCCATCTCTTCATCCCCTATAAAAATTCCCTTAAAAAGCCCCTCTAAACCCCAAATTCCCAAAATTTCCAAATCTCCATCTATCCCCTCCCTTTCCCTTACCCTCTTTCCTCAAGCTAGGGGGACGCCTTATCATCGTTTCTGGTGTTGGGGTTGTGATTGGGAGGAGTTTTAGTAGGGCTCTCAGCAGAAGTCTTGCTTTCTTCTTTTGGAAAAGGTTCTTCTGTAACCTCTTTCTCACCTGTAGCATCTAAAGTTTGCTCTGTCTATATAAGTCATGAATTATAGCCTATTAGACTTGAGGAAGCTCATAGATTTTTAAATGATTAATGGGACTCTTTCAAGCTTCATTAAGGTTTAAATTCCTTTGAGTGTTCTAATTTATAGCTTAATTTCAAGATTTGAATTTAATGATCGAGATCAATCACCTGTTTAAGAATGAGGCAAACTTGGTAAAGTACCAGAGAATTTAGAAGGTGATAGAGAAGAAATAATAGAAGCTTTCAAAGGAAAGAGATAATTTATTTGAGAGTAACTTATTAGATAGTTTTTTATGGTTATACTAAAATAAAACGCTTTATTGTGTTTGTGAAAGGTGAAATTAAACCTTGAAGCTTCATTCGGTGGCTTAGAAAGTTAATTTTGTTCTCTTCTCTATTCTAATTTAAGAGCAGTCATATTGATTTATCCATAAAGGCGAGAAAGCAGAGATGACTTAATTGGATAAAATATTAACTAAAAATTTGCTAAAAATAAAACACAAAACAGCTTTTCAAGTTTTTTACCTCAAAAGATTCCAGAGCAACGCTATCCATTTCTATGACCTCCTTCTTCAGACAAACTGCTCCTGAATATGGAGGTATCAAAGTCTCATTCTCGCTCCCATACTGCGATACTCCAATTTCGTTAATCTTGCCTGCATTATAGCATCCTTGTCTATACATCCATTAGCTCGTCTGGCTTCCAGAAATTATGACTTACTTAATATTAAACTTAAGCATTGTGGTCTTCTTAGTGTCTTCAGCTGTAACTTGATTCCCAGTCGCTGTACCGTTCATGAAGCCTTGTGCTGTGTCTAAGTCATCACTGGCACAGCCCCAAGTGATGTACCTGAAGTTCTCGCCTGGCTTAATGCGGCGAAGGACGCCAGCAGGGACTCCACGATAAACTACTCTGTCTTCAGTATTGGCTTCTGACCCTAATTCAACGATATATGTGTTCAGCAGGCGCATGTATTTAATACTTTTGTCAATGACTTCTTTGTAATTTTTACCATATTTGGCCAATACACTCTCATAAAACTGTGCGCCCTTAAAGACCTCTTCTCCAAAAGTTGCCACCGCATCAAGGGCAAGGCCTGCGTTCAGTGTCTTCGTGAAATCACTATAAAACCGTTTAGCCTGGCTGAGCGATTAAATATTTAGACTCACAAAATCCAGCATTTTCAGAATTTATTCGTGAACAAAGATTTTTGCGTAAAAATTAGGAATCCAAAAGCTATTGGCAGTGTTTTGGAAAAGGAGAAAAAGGGAATATTATACGTACTCGCTTGAAGTCCAGAGCTTGGTGACTACCATACGGGCTCCGTCATATTTGTGGGTATCGAAGGCTTTTTCAACATAGGCTTTGATTTTTGGTATGTTCTTAAATAACTCCCTCAGATCCTCAATCACCTCTTCCAGCGCCGGCATCCTCTCCGTCTCACTAAACTTCTCTACACAATCACCCATAACACTCACCAAAATAATACGTCTTCATAAAATTCTCCCTAAACACCTCTTCAGTCACCACAGAGCTCTGCAACTTCGCTTCCTGCTTCTCTTCAGGCATCTCCTCAAACGGCAGGTCTTCAGAGTCAGACTCTGACACTTCAGTTTCTTCGTATTGATAAATCATCTCTTCTTCCTCTTGTTCCTCTTCTCCCTCAGTTGTATCCGGATGTAGTTCCTCAAAAGTCTGATATCAGTCATAGTACACACCATGCTGACTAGGCAGACAGTCGTACTTCTTCTGTACTCTCTGGCTGAGTTCCTCCCTACAAGCACGCAGGGGCTTTTCACAGAGCTTGCACCTATTGGTCTTGAAGGCACTCCAAGGAGTGAAGGAGTAAGGAGGGGCACGGTGGATTCTGGGACGTTCGCATGAGTGGGTAATAGAGTAGATGCGAGGATTGTGTGGAAGAAGTGGATCGAAAGGAGACCTGTACATTGGGAAATTTAATTTGGATAAATAAAAATTTGGCGGAAAGGGGTTTTGGGGTTTTGGGGTTTTGGGGTTTTGGGG